TCCACTTTCGATTAACAGAGACAGGCTCTAAAAATAGCCCAGTTTATGAAGATTCTTATCTGATGAATATCAATGAAAATCACGACAATTCCAAATTCAAAATACTTATCAAAAACCAAAAAATAAAGACCTAATAAAAATATTGATAACAAGATAAATAGAAGAAAAGATAAGAAGATATGCGTCCACCCCCTACATATTTGATACCTTCTCCTACAAAGAAACTCATAACACCAACCCCATTCGTAATTCCATCAATTACTCGTCGATCAAAAAAATGAGTTAATTGGGCTAATCCTTTTACCGCCCTAGTTAAGGATGTTGTATAAAAAGCATCTATATAAGCACGATTATATGACCAATTATATAGACCATTTAAAATTTTGTCCCAAAGACTTCTCTTAGGACCTGTTTTAACAAATAAATTGATTAAGTTGAAATTTTTGAAAGAGGAATAAATAGGTTTATATAAAAATGAAGCTATAAATATTTCAAAATAAGTTATACTGACTGAAAAAATTGCATCTTTCAAAAATTCATACCAATCGATCGAATCATTCAACTTTTGATGTAAAAGGTTTATGGACGGAGTTAACCATTTGGTTAATATATCCAATTGTTGATTGAAAAGAATTCCTATAGATCCAACGAACAAAGTAAAGATGCCCAATACAAGTAAAGGAAATAACATAGTATTGTCGGATTCATAAGGATAGGAATAATCCTTTTTATTCTCAAAACGAACAATAGTAATAAAAGGACCTATCTTGTTTCTTACATTTTTATCACTTCGATATGTCTTTTTTGAAAAAAAAAAAAAAAAGAACTTTTACTATTATTCTTTTTTAATAAACGAAATTTTTTTGTTAATTCTTTTGGAACCCCCTTTTCCCTATAAAGATATTGAATAGAAAGGGGTATTTTGTTTGCCACTATAATTTTGAAAATGAACGTTTAAATGCCCTGCAAAAGTAAGTAAATAGATCCAAAACATATAAAATAATGTTAATCCTGTTGTGGTCCAAGCTATTATTGCGAAAATCGATGAATACAACCAACTATCATTAAGAATTTCATCTTTTGACCAAAAACAAGCTAGAGGTGGAATACTACAAAGAGAAATTGTACCTAATAAAAAAGAAATTCGGGTAATTGGTACATGTTTTGTTAAACCACCCATAAGAGCCATATTCTGACTTTTATCTGGAGAATAGCCAACAATAGTTTCCATTGAATGAATAATAGATCCAGACCCTAAAAATAATAATGCTTTGGAATAAGCATGAGTAATCAAATGAAATAAATCACTTCGATAAGACCCCATTCCTAGAGCCAACATCATATAACCTAATTGAGACATGGTCGAATAGGCTAAACCCCTCTTAATGTCTTTTTGAGCAAGAGCTAAAGTAGCTCCTAATAATACTGTTATTATTCCTATGAACAAAATTAAATTCATTATGTAAGGTATAACTATAAAAAGAGGAAGAAGGCGAGCTACAAGAAAAATTCCCGCTGCTACCATAGTAGCAGCATGTATAAGAGCCGAAATAGGAGTAGGTCCCTCCATAGCATCAGGTAAGCATACATGAAGGGGGAGTTGTGCAAATTTAGCAACTGTACCAGTAAATAATAGAGCAGCACACAAAGTAACAAATGAAGAATTTACTTTATTATTATAAATCAAGTTATTTAATATTTCGAATAAATCCCTAAATTCGAAACTACCTGTTATCCAATAAAAACCTAATATTCCTAATAATAAACCAAAATCCCCTACACTATTAGTTACAAATACTTTTTGACAAGCATTTGCCACAACAGGTCATGTGAATCAAAACCCTATTAATAGATAGGAACACATTCCAACCAATTCCCAAAAAATATAAATTTGTATCAAATTGGAACTAGTAACAATCCTAACATGGAAGTACTGAAAAAACTCATATAAGCAAAAAATCTCAAGTATCCTTGATCATGAGCCATATAATTATCACTATAAATAAGAACCATAATTCCAACAGTAGTGATTAAAATTGACATAATAGAAGTAAGTGGATCAATCATGTAATCGAATTCTAAAGAAAAATCATTATTGATGATCCAAGACCATACATATTGATAGATACAACTACTATTTATTTGCTGAATAGGCAGATTAATTGAAGAAATCATGACTATACTTAACAATAAAATACTCGAAAAGGCCCTCATACGATGAAGGTTTTTTGTAGTTGTCAGAAAAAGAAGAAGTCCGACTCCTATTAACATAGAAACTAGAAGTGGAACAAAAGGTATGATCCACACATATTGATATGTCTGTTCCATAAAAAAAAAAATTTAATTAATTGTTTTCAATTCACCGGATCTTACCTATTTTGAAAGAAGTCAATAAAAAAAATCAAGATATGCACTAATTTAAATAGAATTTTATAATTTTTTATTCTTACTTATTCTACTAAATATTCCAAATATTCAAATCAAGAAGTTACAATTGGTCAAATCATATGAAAGAAAAAGATTAATTACAAGTTTCTGAAAATTCAATTCAAATTAGCCACATTTTTACCGAGTTTGACCAGTTAATAGAAAAATACATATTCTTCTTCTTTTTTCTATTTTTAGTAATATTTTATGTCATTTTCACATATCTTTAACCTATCTATTGTTTTCTTTTTATTTTATAACAAAATATTTTCTAGAAAAGAAATTCCTAATGAATGGAGAAATGCGGATTCATTTTGAATAATAGATGTCTTTCACATCCAGCTATAAAAATGAGTAATATCTTAATTTGTATTTAAATGGCAGTTCCAAAAAAATGTACTTCTGCATAAAAAAGCGTATTCGTAAAAAAATTTGGAAAAGGAAAGGATACGAGATAGCATTAAAAGCATTTTCCTTAGGAAAATCTCTTTCTACCGGGAATTCAAAAAGTTTTTTTGTGAAAAAAAAAATAAGTAATAAAACGTTGGAATAATCTGAATCGACTTGACTCAAGAAATTGACTCATTTTTAAAATCAAATTAATGAATTTCATTACCTATTGAGTTAATCAATATGAAATGGAATTCGTTCCGCTCTTAGAATATGTAGAATAAGTATTCTTCTATTTACCTTACTCAATACAATTCAAAAAAAATAAAAATACTTTCTTTTTGTTGACAAAAAATACTCAATTTTCTTTTTAGCATATTTTCTCATTTCCAAGGCGGGGAGTCTTATTTTCTGAATTCCCTATTTGTTACAATAATACAACTTTTTTTTTCTCTATATCCACTTTTTCTCTCTATCTATAGAAGAGCAAATAGAAAATCTTGAATCTTTAGTTACTAAAATCATTGAAACTAACTGATTAAAATTTTAAACCCTCTTGTGTAACTTTCTGACTTTTTGATTTTCTCTGAATTCCTATATACACACCCATATATCTCTAACACTTAGTGAAGAGAGTCTGGATAAATAATGTATCAATTTTGAGTGATCCAAGATAGGTTTTTTTTTCTTTTGGATTCATTAAGAAAATGGATTTTTTTTTTAGTTCTATCCTATTAATTGATAATAAAACTATCTATTTTTAAAGAGTTCAAGTTGAGGAGAGTATAAAATACAGGAATATCTTAAGAAAACTAAGGTCCTAAACTAAAATAATGAACCTTTAAATACCTATTTGAACTAATTTTTATTCATACATTTGAATATTTCCTAAAAAAATATTGCAACCAATTGAATTATTAAATCTAGACGATTGCTTATTCATAGGCTATTATAAGATCAAGACAAGCCACTACGTTGAAATTGGTAGACATGCTGCTATTAGGAAGCAGTGCTAGAGCATCTCGGTTCGAGTCCGAGTGGCGACACGTCATCTTCTAAAAAAACTAAATAGACCCTTAATGAATTCAATTCCTAATTTCTTGTAATTAAAGAACTCCTATTTTTTAAGTTTTTTATGATATTTTCAACCTTAGAGCATATATTAACTCATATTTCTTTTTCGATCGTTTCAATTGTAATTACAATTCATTTGATAACATGTTTAGTCAATGAAATCATAAAACTCTACGATTGATCAGAAAAGGGCTTGATAATGACTTTTTTTTTATAACAGAATTATTAGTTACTCATTGTATTTATTCGGGACATTTTCCACTAAGTAATTTATATGAATCATTAATCTTCCTTACATGGAGTTTATCCCTTATTCATATAGTTCCGTATTTCAAAAAAAAAAAAAATTAAGCGCAATAATTGGACCAATTGCTATTTTTACCCAAAGCTTTGCTGCTTCAGGTCTTTTAACTCAAATACACGACTATGAAATATTAGTACCCGCTCTTCAATCCAAGTGGTTAATAATGCACGAAAGTATGATGATATTGGGCTATGCAGCCCTTTTATGTGTATCATTATTATCAGTATCACTTCTAGTCATTGCAGTTAAAAAAAATAGAAAGTTATTTTTTTTACAAGTTATCATTTATTAAATTTAAATGGGTCATTTTTCTTTGGTGAAATCGAATACATGAATGAAAAAAGAAATGTTTTACAAAATACTTCTTTTTTTCCTCCGAGGAATTATTACAAGTCACAATTTATTCAACAATTGGTTTATTGGAGTTGTCGGGTTATTAGTCTAGGATTTATCTTTTTAACCATAGGGATATTTTCTAGAGCAGTATGGACTAATGAATCATGGGGATCATATTGGAGTTGGGACCCAAAGGAAACTTGGGCATCTATTACTTGGATCATATTAGCGATTTATTTACATATTTAAACCAATA